CATGTATAAAGCATGTAAGGCAAAGTCTTGCTATCCATGCATCTGGCTATCCTTCTAATACAAAATGGTTTGTTCTTCTGGTCAGTCCATGGTATCGTTAAGACTCTTCATCAACACCATAATTCAAATGCACTGTTTTTCTTTGGTCTTCCTTATTCATTGTCCAGCTTTTGCATACATAGGAAGCTTTGCATACAACATGGCTTAGGTCAGGCACACCTTCCTTCATCCTCAAAGTGACATTCAAACATTTTAAAAAGTATTGATATAGTGGCTGCAAAATTGAGCTCGAACAGAGCAATGGTTGTGTGGCTATTGGAGGACTGGGTAGTGTTTGGCTCTGTTGTTTGTGTACACAGGGTCCCTGAGAGTCAGAATCAATTTGGCAGCACCAAACAGCAATGGTACATAACTGTTGATCTTTCCAGCAGGTACACAATGAGTAGAGAACACATTCTTGGAGAACCTCAGACTCCTACAAAATTAGTTTAGATTTTTTAAAAATTAGTTTAAATATTTCATTCCAAGACACTTCATTGGAATTGGGTGATCACAGACTAGAATATAGGGAAGCAGTATGACACAGTAGATCCAGAGGTCAGAGTTATCACCCTCCGCAACCACTATGTGACTACATTTTACCTAAATAAATAAATAAGTGAAATACACGGAAGAGTTACCTGACAGTCTGTTGCTCTTAGGGGCCATTGAGACAGTTCGGACTCACAGCGACTCTAGGTACAACAGGAACAAAACACTGCCCAGCACCGTGCCGTCTCAGAAATGTGTGAGTCCACTGTTTCACCCACTGTGTCAATCCATCTTGTTGAGGGTCTTTCTCTTTTCGTGCCGCCCCTTTACTTTACGAAGCATGATGTTCTTCTCCAAGGACTGGTGTCTCCTGATAATATGCTCAAAGTACGTGAGATGAAGTCCCTCCAACTTTGCTTCTAAGCACCGTTCTGGCTGTACCTCTCCCCAGACAGGTTTGGTTGTTCTTTTGGCAGTCTGTGGTACTTTAAGCGTTCTTCTTCCAGTGTTCTTAATAAAAAGAAAGAAAAAGAAATTACCCCGAGTCCACTCTGCCACACAGCGACCCCATGTATTGTAGGGTAGAACTGTTCGCCATTTTTCCAAAGGCTGTGATCATTAGGAAGAGAACTCTAGACCTATCTACCGAGGTGCCTCTGGGTGGATTTGAACCACCATTCTGTCAGTAGCTGAGTGCTTAACCATTCCCACCACCCAGGGATTCCCCCAAGGTTGTATCAAAACCAAATGCACTGCTATCAAGTCAATGTTGACGCATAGCAACCTTGTATAGACTGTCCGTCTTCATAGGACCAGACAGCCTTACCGTCATTCTCCATTGACTTTGCAGTTAGCAGGCCAACCCATAATTCAGGGGTCCTTCTAGGGCTTCTATAGGTTTCCATTATTTTTTCTCCTAGTTTTCTTTCCAAATTAACATTATCACCTCGGAGCTCCCAGCAAGAGGAGGAGGATTCATTCAGCCCTCCGTCCATGAAGTTTAGCAACTCTCACACAAGACAAGAGGACTTCTGAGGACAGGATGAATGTTAAATCAGGCTTCGATTTTTAATGTAATTTATGGGGTGCTTCTTATAGTCTAGAGCCATAATATTTCTAACAGAAAAGACTCATAGGCCAATAAATCTAATTCTTAATTTAATGTAGAGGAAAAGATCTTTCTTATACTCCTAAACCAAGCCACTGCAAAATACCAGTGTGATTTTCATTTAGAACAAGTCATCATAAAAAATTTATTAAAATTTTGCAATGAATTAAAAAGGTAAAGTACTTAAGATGCTAAGAGACTATAACTTTCGGGTGAAATTTCTCCCCCTTCCCCCTTTTCTTCTTCTTTTCCAGGAGCTGCAACATTTGCGGCATAGTTTGGATAAATTAATCTCTTGTTAATTTTGGAAGCTGCTGAATTGACACATCCTCCTCCACCTCCCTTCCTCAACGTCACTAAGCCGCCGCAAGCCTCCGTGACAATCAGAGCAGTATCTGAAGCACGTGTCTGGGCCAACAGAACAAGCACTGTGCCTCCTCACTGGGAGCTAGCGACAGCCTTCTCTGGACTTTGTCCCCAAACTAACCCAACAGTTTTATAAATCCCTTAGTGGTGCTTCTGTAATTCCACTTTGCCTCACTGAACTCTCATACAGCCAAACTCGAATATAGCTGAACAACATTTTAAAAAATTCTAAAGTTACCATTTTTCTTTCACTCACTCACTCACTGCCATCAAGTCAATTCCTACTCATAACAACCCTGTGGGCCAGAGGAGAACTGCAGCTGTGATTTTCTAAGATTAATAAACCTCTATGGGAGCAGAAAGCCTCATCTTTCTCCCCTAGTTTTTCGTTAGATGCATGTTAATAGAACGCAATTCAAACAAGTCTAAGGAAAAAGAAAAGAATAATTTTACTATGAAAATTCAGAGCTTACTCACAGAGCAGTTTATTGTACTGTGGTGGCGTGCGTGCTCCTGTGACGGGAGAAGCTATGTCACTGGTATTTCAAATTCCAGCAGGGTCATCCAAGGTAAACAGGTTCCAGCAGAGCTTTCCGACTGAGCACTGACTATCAAGAACTAAGCTGTGCACTTCTGAGAAGTTAGCCACTGAAAACCGTGTGCACAGCAGGAGTCCACTGTCAGGTACTGAAAGCCCCCTTGAGTAGCAGCACAAGCTTGTCATCTATAGTGCCAGAGGGTAAGCCCCGCAGGTCAAGAGGCACTCAAATACTCCTAAGGAAGTGCTGCCTTCTTAGAGTAGAGCCAACCACTGTGACGTGAAGTACAACTTTTGGGAACTTCACTTGCTGGTGAAGTTAAAATGACTTAAAATGAAAATAAGCAGCTACAAACATCAATTACTAATCAGAACTTGCAATGTGCGAAGTATGACTCTACGAAAATTAGAAGCCATCATAAATGAAATGAAATGCATGAATGGATTTAGTGGGCTGAAATGAACTGGTATCAGCCACACAGTTTACTATGTTAGGGATGACAAGCTCAAGACCAGTGGCATTGTATTCATTGTCAAGAACACATCTCGAGATCTACCTCAAACTAAAATGCTGCCTGTGATCATGTCTATCCCACTACAAGGGAATCCAGCTAATACAAATCATGGGGTAGAACCAAGAAATAAGGTGCATGGAACACATCGGTTTTGCTATCCTGCAAATGAACCACAAAACAAGCCAGAGAAGGGGGACCTCAGGTCCCTTAGAAAGACGAGCTCAGAGTGAATCGCATCCTTTGGAACAGGGTTACCTGCGCTGAATACCTCCTCGACTCAGAAGGCAGAGCCCTGCAATACCAGCAGCAGAATCATGAGGCTGGCAGAAGTCTGTGTACAGAGGGTTTTCCCTTTCCACAGAGCAAGAAAGCTTAACACCTTTGGGCAAAAGACTTGCTGGCAGAGTAGGATTTCTCTGACTACTTGGTGGAGATAGGTTTACAAACCTACAGCGCTAGAGCTGTGTACCTTTCCCCTGAGGCTTACTAGTAGACTGTGTGGCTTCTGGGAAGTTATCAGAAAAACGAACATCTTTGTAACATTTGCCAAGCAAAACAGAGGCCAGGTCAAGGGCTTGAGAGAAGCTCATCTACAGACAAAGCTTAGAACAGGTTGCCCAGAATGAAGAACTGCATCCTGAAGATTCCTGAACCTGAATAGTGAGTGGCCTGTGATTACAGTCTGTGAGTTCTGTGTGTAGTCGGGACGCCAAAGGAGCAACAGCTTCAGTCAACTTCAGAAAAGGCCGGAGGGAGAGCGTGTTTGATCTCCATCTCATAGGAACCAGCCATGGGCTGTTCATCGTGATCCTCCTCTTTACTTGTGAAGTTTCAGGTCAGACCCCCTTCCTCCATGCCATTTCTAACGTGCCCTGGTAGGAAGGTAGCCATTGCATCTAGATGATCAAATTTAGTGGCCTCTAATTACAACCATCTCTATCTCTGCCTGTTCCGTGGTCATGCTTCCTCCTCCATTCCTGATTGATTAATGTGAGTCTTCTCTCGTTTTCTTGTGGTCAATTTAACTAAAGGTTTGTCAATTTTATTGATCTTTTTAAAGAACCAACTTTTAGGTTGGCTTATATTTACTAGCATGCTAATTTTATTACTTTGCTTTTCCTTAGTTGGGGTTTAGTTGTTTTGGGGGTTTTTTTTCTGCTTGAAATCAGTTTATTAAACATTTTGGGACTGAAAACAAATTTGGATAAAAGCAAGTCTGTGCTAAAGTCATTTTTTGCTGTGTGCAGAAATGCAAATAAAATGTGCATCACTTTGTTTTTAAATCATTTTATTGGGGCTCGTACAATTCTTATCACAATCCATACATACATCCATTGTGTCAAGCACAT